TTGCCAACAGAGAACAACAAACTCAAAATAAGAGTGACCTAACCACTCTAGAGCTATATCTCTCAACAGACGAGGAGATCCCAGGGTGGAAGTTGCTGGCACCGCACTCTATTGCCTCAAGGCTCAGGAACTTAGGTATGATGATATATGCCTACAAATCTCAGTGCGTGGGAGGCTGAGCAGGGCAGCAGTGAGTTCAAGGTCATCCTATGCTTTGTAGTGAGACCCTGTCTCAACAACGAAGAAGTGTGGGAACTTTGGGTTCTGTATTATTTAAAATAATGTATCATCAACCTCACCTGTCCTTCTTATATTCTGGAGGCTACAGCTTTCTTATCCATCTTTTAAGGCATTCCTCCAAAGCAGAGCCAACTTTTCTGGAAGCCTCAGTTACTGTTTTCTACTTACACCTTAGTGACCATTCTGAGCTTTCCTGGAAGATAAGAAGTGTGGTGTCTTCTCTAGGTTCATTTCCGCACTACGTAAAACTGTGAGACTTAATCGTGAGGGAATTGAAATAGATTTCTGCAGCGGAAAATATAGTCCCTGCCACAAGAGAAACAGGGGTCACAGCACCTTATCAATAAGAAGAATAATGGGGCGCAGAGTGGATAACTTGGGGGAAGTAATAGCTATAGCATGGACAGTGACTGGACCCTTATTCTCTGCATGATTTAGATATGCAGAGAAATCCTCACACCACCACTATAATATCTAATATCATCACTAATATCACATCACCATTCTCCAGACAAACAAACAAACAAACAAATGAAACAAGGCTTAAAATCAGGCAGACAACTCGTGCCTGAAAACCTTGCTACAGGAGTTCAAAGATACTTGAACCCCACAACAACAACAACAAAAATCAGGACCAGAGTTGAATTTCAGAAATATGCTTCCAGCCACTCAACCATTGCACAAATAAGAAACCCAGATTAGAACCCATGCCACTGAAAGCCCAGTTTTGCAGTCAATCCAAGAGGCTTCCTCTGGGGCTCTGATCTCTATCACCCAGCAGAAAGCTGAGCGGCTGTTCTGGAAAGGAGAGGCCTCTCCTGGAATGTGGCTGGCGCCTTCTCCAAGGCTGTTCCCTTTATCACAGTGCAGCAGGACAAGAAACCTGACTCTGCTTTCTCTCTCAGGGAGGAGTTTTTTTTTTCCATTTCTGGCCAAGTGTGCCCTACCCTCTACATCTGTCATCTTTACATGCGCCATAATTAGGGTCCCCACCCCCAGGTAAATTTCCAATAGTGGTGTATAATTTAATTCAACTTCTAACTTTTAACATTTGAAATTTGAATTGTATTTACTTATTATTTGGGAAGAGAGATTCTAAAAGCCCACAAACAACTTTATCCTCCTCCAAATCCTATCTATATGAGTAATCACTAACAATCTTCTCTTTTTAATCGCTTTTAAACCAAGACACAAAAATGCACATATTTATAAGGTACTGTATGTCATTTAAATACATAGATACACTGGATAAAGCTTAAGTTGAGTTATAAATATGTCTATATCCTCAAACATTTATCATTTCCTTCTGGCGAGAACTTTCAAAATCCTTTCTTCTAGCTTTTTCAAAGTCCTGGCTTTAACAACAGCCCATCAGAACTTATTCTTACCTACCTGTAAAATGGCGCCAACTGACTAGCCTTTCCCCATGCCTCCCTCCTTGCAGCACTCCCAAAGTCCTGCAACCACCACTTTTTAAGATTCCACACAGGCCTGAGATGACTCAGGGCTTGAGTTTCTGTCTCTGGTTTATCTCATTTAACATAGCCACCTGTGGGTCCAGCTGTATTATCACAAAAGACAAGATTTCATCTTTTCTGAAGGCTGAAGGGTATCAATTATGTGCACATACCACAGTTTATCAACTTTATCAGTGGCTGGACACATCAGTTGTTTCTATCGCTTCTCTAGGGAATGCTGTTGCAACAGAAAAATGTAACTGTCCTTTGGCATACGTATTTCTTTTCTTTCTGAAGTGTAGTCAGTTTGGGATTGGTGGAGTGCATAGCAATTCCATTTTTAATTAAAGAAAACCCTTCACATAGTTTTCAATGACTATACTAACTTTACATTCAATAGTATGTAAGGATGCCTTTCCTTTCACCATGTGCTACTAGCCTCTGTCTTTTTGGAAGTTGTGTGTGTGTGTTTGTGCATGTGTGTGTGTGCGCACATGTATGTTTGTGTTGAGACAGGGGCTTGACACGGACACTGAAGCACTCCTGCTATTAAGTAAGACTAGAAGTCTCTTCTACTGGTTCATTCATGCTGAAGCAAGAGAGCATCTCAGTGTGGTTTTGATTAGTATTTTCCTGATGAGTGTTACTGCAACTTTCTGGTGGAACGGCAGGAGAGGAAATAAAACATCAAGTCTGCTCTTTTTACTACACTCTAAACGTTATAGTTTTGCGTGTGTCATTGAGGGCTCTTGGACTGCACCTGAAGCTATCAACTTGCAATTCTGCTGCTCACCTCCCAAGAATTCAAAGAAAGTTTTCATCTTCTTATTTCCATGTACTGTGTAAGTCAACAAACTTTCTTCTCAGTGTGCTTTCTGGATCTCATAAAACTTAAATGGAGAGTATTAACTAGCTCGATGGCAGGGTAACACCAAATCACACTTTAAAAAATATAGTCTTATTGTATTAAATGTCTTGTTACTGTAATTACAGTGCCGCAAGCACACAGAATAACGCATCATATCATTATTTAATTTTACGGAAAAGCTTTCTAAAGTTGTTTGTTTACAGATAATGCCAGATTCTGTTTCCATTTTACCTAAATTGTAGCCTGTGCTAGGATTTTGTATTTTACTGTAATATTTCTTAAAATGTGCTTATCTTTTAGGATCCAGCTTGATAGTACACGATTCCTGTAGAAGATGGACCAACAATTGCTCCGAAAGCGGTTTGACAGCGTGAAGCTTCTGTGTTACAAGATGGCAACACAGTTGCTTTTTGAACCGCCTGGCAGAGTGCCGGAGCACAGTCTCGGGCAATCATTAAAATGCCCGTGTTTTCACTAAACACAACTCCCAGTGAAAAGCATCTTTCTGAATACTATGTAAAGACACTGAAAAATGTCCATGGTGAAATGGGGAGCTGTACTCCAAAAAGTATAACAATAGACAGGAGTGTCAAGACTGGGCTCTCAAAAGATGGAGTCAGAGTCAAGGATGAGTTTACTATTTATTTTATGCTTTTTAAAATCTTCTACTTATTCTGTGATTAGCATCCAACTGTTTTGTAGAATTGTTTTTGTTTTTAATTATATATGTGTGTGTATGTGTGAGGGGGCATGTACATATGCATACAGGTGCCCACAGAAAGCAGAGGTACCAGATCCCCCGAAGCTGGAGTTACTGCAGCTGTGAGCTGCTCAGTGTTGGTGGTACTTCGGGCCTCTGCAAGGGCAGGGCATGCTCTTAACCACAATGCATCTCCCTGGCCTCAGCGTAAAGCTTTAAAACTGAGTCAGGAGGCTAAGGCAGAAAAATGCTAATCTTGAGATCCAGCCTGGCTTATCAGAAAGACTATGTCCCACAAAAGTAAAAAGTAAATAAAACGGGCATGGCAGCCCATGTTTCTAATCCCAGTATCTAGAAGACTGAGGAAGGCAGACTGCCCGAGTTCCAGACTAACCGGGACTAAAGCAACCAAGGAAAGCACCTGGCATCAACCTTGGGCATCACATGCATTCACTCACACACATGTGCACCCCGACATGCAAACATGCATACACACAGGCACACACAGCCCACACATATGCAGTAATAATGAAATAAAACCAATGGCAGCTGGGAACAGCAGCACACACTTGTTAGCACACGCGGGGCTAAAGCAGGAGGATCAGGCAAACTCAAAGCCAGCCTGACCTACAAAGGCTACTCTGGCAAAACCTTGTCTCAAAATAAGTAAATAAATAATAATTACAGCTCCTAGTAACCACATCAACTGTGTAGAGTTTAAACAATACAAGCACTGTTGGCGTGTGATGGGGAGCCGAACGGCAGTGTGGGTCTAGTTGCAGCATTTAGGAAAGCTCATCCCCTGAATCTGCACGGACTACTCCCTACCTTCCTCTTTGACTGTTCTACAGTTAAGCGCCTTAGAGTTGATTTGTTGATTTCAACGTCCTTTTCCGTGCACTCGGGTTTAACTAGGGTAACATGGGATAATGCTTTTCTAATGGTGGGCCTCCAACTCTCAATCAGCTTGCCTCAGAAGCTGAAGTTAGTCTTCTTTGTGTTAAACTCAGCTCAGTTTTCTAATGCTGAAGAAGTTCAACAGGAAGAGAATTCTGGAAGGATAGAAGGTAGATATTATAAACTGCCCTCCAGACTGAGAAGGTAGGAGGGAACCATGTGGGACCCTGAGGTCATATCTTGCCAAAGGGAAAAGAGCCACAATTCATCCACTTCATGGGGACTCTGTCCCAGGGTACCCCGACAAGCTAATTCATTTCATGAGGTGTCAATAATCTAAGTGGCTATTTAAGCTGCCTTGATTTTTTTAATGTTGGAAGTAAATTCAAATTTTAACAACCGTACAGTGTAAACAAAAGGCACCCACAGCTGTGGCGTGTCCACAGACTGCCAGTTTTCCCAAGAAGTGTTAAAGCAGCTGAACCAGAGACAAAAAAAAATGTGCCTTGTTGGAGTCCTTTCCCTTTCCTGAAATGTGCTGTTTCGGAAAAATCCAAATACGCTGACATCATATTTATAATTACGAGATTTAATGAGAAAAGCAGCATCAGTGAGTAGGTAGTTGGGAGGGGACTGACCCTTTGAATCAAGGCCAAGGATACTGTCACCTAACTGGAGTACAACAGATTTAGCCACAGGCAGACCACATTGTCTTTCCCGGGGTAGTTAAGTCAGACTCGGCCTCCCTTGCTTCCAAAGGGAGGAAATACTTCCTCCACTCAGGGCAGTTGCGGTCAGTTCTCCCGGACAAACCGTTAAACCTGAAGGATTTTGAGCCCAGAAGACAGGGCTGCCCGCTTCCAGCCTCCCGGCCTGTCCCGGACTCCAACACCCGCACCTTTCAGAGGTAAGCCTTTGTTTGTGCAGCCCCCCACCCCTGCCACCCTCACAGGAAAGCTTCACCCTCCCTCCCTACCACTCCCAGGCAAGTGAGTCAGACAGACAGTAGGTAAGAAAATCAATTTAAATCCTTTTATCTAGATCTCATTTGAATTGGCATTTGGCTTATTGTGAAGGCTTATTTAAATTAGAGGGAAAATAGAAGCCGCTCCCCACATTTCCGTGGGGAATTAAAGCCTTGTGTATTTTAGAGAAAAAGATGTAGAGGCTCCCTTCTAGCACCCGCTACGCCCATCCTCCAGGCTCAGTTCCTCTAGGAAATAATAAAAATTTAAAGCAAGAATTTAGACAAGGCTTTGTCCTAGGTGGCCTTTAAGAATTCTTGGTTTAAGTGGACTAAAAATGCCTGTGTGGCAGGGCAGCTGGGTTTCTAGAAGCAAACCCCTTGGGCCTGTGAATCCATTCCCATCCTTGGAAAGTTCTGCCAGCAGCCAAACTCACTGGGCAATCAGATAAAGACCTCAGACCTCATCCCTGTCCCTGCTACCTAGAATCAGCAGGCCCAAGATGGGTCCTTACTTGTGAGGTAGTTAGCACCCTAGATAACAGGCAAGAATTGGAATTGAAATGTGAGTTCCTCATTTACAATCAACTTCTTCAGTGCTTATCCTGGACTTTTCTTTTCTTTTTTGTTTTGTTTCAATGTTGTTGTTTTTGCAAGCAACAACAGCAAGATTAGGTTTGAGCATTAACCAAAATTAACTTACTTTTTACAAAAAGTCTGTTTCTGAAACTATTATCAGAATACTTAGGTGATTAGAACAAGTATGCCATTTTAACATCGGGTAAGAAAAGGAAGAGCAATGATATCCTTGATTATAGAAAAAAGATGGCAAACCAAGTTACTCACTCCAATGAGGGGAGTGGCCCTTTAAGATCACTGAATTCGATTACTACAGAGACACATCTTAAAAAATATAATATATTCAAATTATCTAAAAGTATATCTAATTATCTGAAAGTAAACTTTCAAACATCAATGGAAAAAAGCTATTTTATGGTGGGGGAGGTTCTCGTGATGAAAATAAATGAGGTAGAGGCACTTTGTTGTCCCTGAGTCCAGCTGTCCCTAAGGGAATGCAGGGATACACATACTCCCTCCAGAAGTTCCTCTAACATAGCTCCATTAGAAGTTTGAAAAGTTGTGGAACTCTCCTGAAGCCCATCTGTCTGGTAGGAGTCATTACCCCTTCCCCCCACTTCATCAGTCCTATAAACATCTCTTTCAGTTCAGGAAGTCTCTTAAAGAATGGTTTGGAACCAGGGGGTTTGGGAACGATCCCCAAGCCCCGCCACTGTCAAAGCGGCTCCCTTTCCATTACAAACATCTATTCATTTGTTCAGTGTGTCTTGAGGAGGTTACTTGTGGAGGTCAGAGCGCAGCTCCATGGAGTCAGTCGGATCTGTCCTTCTGAACCTGGTTCAGTGGCTCAAACTCGGGCCTTTAGCTTGGGGGGCAAGGGCCCTAAGCCCCTAGTTGAGCTATCATCTCAATGGCACCAGAAAGGCTCTCCTCACAAATTCCCAGGATACTGATTTACCAATTAACCAATGTCCCGAGAGCATGGAGGATGTGCATGGAGAGATTATTGCTCAAGGGTTAAAGGTCTCCAGGACGGTTAAGTAGGCCCGGATTCATACACTTTTGCCGAACTCATCAACTGCAAGTCAGGTCTTCTTAGGTGGTGGGGGAAGGAGGCTCCTCAAAGCAGGACAGAATGGCACATATTGTAGCTCCACCAACTTGAGAGACCATTGCAGAACAATCACATGAGGCCAGCCCAGAGGACACATGAGACATGTAACATATGCCAAACATACAGCAAACTGTAGAGCTTACTAAAGTTAGATTATTTTTGTTATATTTTTTTAATCATGGCAGTTTAATTTTGCTGTATCTCAGACTAATTTAAAAGCTAAACAAGCACATCTCAATCCTTTTGTTTTAGCTGGTACCTAATGCATAAAGATAAGACACATATTCCTAGGTTTTGCTGTACACTGTGTTTAAATTATGCTTGACACACAGTATAACCCTTAATCAGTGTCTTTTCTCTTGTCAAAATTTCTAGTCTTTGCTACTGGATGCTTCCTGCTCTATCACAAAACAAAATCTATGTTAAGTAACTGAAACTTACTGAAGTTCTCCTCAAGAGTGCCTTTTAAGGATGAAAATTGAGCTTTTGTGAGACTGCAGGACACAGGCAAGGGAAGACACACTGAGTAGCCTGCAGCACTAACAATTATCTCCTCAGCAACCACACGAATCCTTCAGGACTGAAGAGAAGTAAGACGCCAAGAGCCTAGCGCGTGCTTATCAGCGCCTGCTTATCCTTGGACAATCAGGAGACTCACTGAGGGAAGGCAGAGAGCACAGGGCCCAGAGGGCTCTAGGATCTAGGACAAAGGGACACAAAGGCTCTGTGAGGAGCCTCCACTCACCACGTAACTCCCACCATGAAACTGACATCCTGTGCTTTTCTTAGGTTTGGTTCTACACAACAAATACAAAATCAAGCACTTCTAACTTTTTTTGTGTCTTTGGTTTTTGTTTTGTGTTGAGCTATGGTCTCACTACGTAGCCATGAATGGCCTGGAACATGGTTTGTAGACAAGGTTCGCCTTGAATTCATATATATATCTACCTGTCTCTGCCTGACTGCCACGTTCCGCTCCATGACCAGTTTTTGGTTTTTTAAGACAGGGTTTCTCTTTGTAGCTCTGACTGCCCTGGAACTCGCTCTGTAGACCAGGCTAGCCTGGAACTCACAGACCTCTGCCTGCCTCTTGTCTCCCTGAGTGCTCGAATTAAAGGTGTGACTCATCACCTCCTGGCTCTCTGTGACCATTTTTACAGCTGATTTTTTATCAAATATCATACAGTCATGCTCATGGAGCATGCAAACGCCAAGGCAGCTCTTCAAAGGCAAGCAAACAGCATCCAAGCTTGCTTACCTTCAATTTTCATGCTGCTCGTACCTTAAACTTCCCAACCGAGGCCTGCCTCACACACAAATACACCTATCTGACCAGGACCGAGGCCTGCCTCACACACAAATACACCTATCTGACCAGGGCCACAGACAGCCATTGATGAGAGTTTAAAACCAACTTTTTGATTTCCTTGGAGGGAATGAATTTCTCTCACCCCACCTGTAAAAGAAAATGTAAAATCCACCAATAGGATTCCATCTCTTCACTAACAGAACACACTGACACCCAGTGTGGTGAGATTGGCTGGCGGGTAGAGACATTTGTCACCAAGCCCCGACAACCTGAGTTCAACCCCTAGGGTCCACACGGCAGGAAGAGAGAACTGACTTCTGTAAATGTCCCCTGACCTAGACACACTCACCAAGTAAATGTAATTTAAAAAAATCTCTCCTAATCAAGCTTATAGGTTCTTTTGTGTTGAACAACCCCCCTTTGACATTTTCTGGCTCTCATTCCATAGCTGTCACTACAATTTGACCTTTCGAAAGCAAAAAAAAAACGAACCCAGGTAAAGGAAAGGGAGCTTCAGGTCACCATGATCCCTGCCAGCAGCAGGGCAGCAAGTAGCGGTGATTCCCAGTTAAACAACAAAGGGGAACCAGATGATATCGTACAAAAAATCAGCTGGGAAAGATTAAATCCACATCTCTGGAATATACGAGGGAGGAATGTTTTCCATTGTTCCTCTCAGATAGGCCGCCCTTCTGTCCCCCAGTGCTCCTAAGCACCCTCTCCTAGGTCTTTCTTTTAGAAAGAGCTGGGCGGTGGTGGCGCACTCCTTTAATCCCAGCACTCGGGAGGCAGAGGCAGGCGGATCTCTGTGAGTTCGAGGCCAGCCTGGTCTACAAGAGCCAGGACAGGCTCCAAAGCTACAGAGAAACCCTGTCTCAAAAAAAAAAAAAGAAAAAGATAAAAGGAAATGAAACCCACACGCACACACTTGGGGCTGGCGCGATGGCTGGACTTTTCCCAGAGGACCAGGCTTTGGTTCCCAGCATTCACAAGGGGGTTCACAACTATCTGTAACAGGTTCTAGAGGATCTACCCTAGGCTCCCTTCTAGCCCCTGCCAAGCACCGCATGAATTTAGTATACAGATATACATGCAGACAAATGGCTATGCTCATAAAATAAAAATAAATGAATCTTAAAAGGCAGCTTCTAGACAGCTGGCTAGCGAGGGACACTCCTCATAGTTCATATTTCTGGTCTTGGTACGTGTTTTGGGAAAATGTTTCTGAACCGGGCACATCACGCGCCATTCACGCAGCCTATTCAAAGGTCATGCTTGACCCATTAGAAGGTTGAGCACCACAAGGCAACCGTCCCAGAGATCCTGCCCCTCGGCAGTGGCTACATGCAACGCCTATATTAAATGGCGAACAATTGGATTAACACGTCAGGCTAATCTCAACTATCCCACTCCCCATGTTACCGGAAGCAGACTGCTGCTGTTGAACGGGTGGGCTCTTGGACACAGAAAGCTTAGCCTGGCTCAAGATGCAGGGGGCCTCCACTGTGATCCCGGATCTAGAGACATAAAACAAGGTAGAATCCAATCTAATCTTAATGAAATCCATCTCCTTTTTTTTTCTTTTTTCCCCCCATTCTTCCACCAAGACCTGAAGTACACGGAAGAAGGGAAAGTTGTCTGACTTCCACACAGCAAGCCAGGCATATGCGCATGCGCACGTAAACACAGGCAGTGATTTCATGATGGTTACACGTTACTGGATGCACCCTCTGGATGGCATGCTGTTTTGTTTCTTTTAGGGGGCCTTTAAGGTTTTCCGCTTTTCAGTGTTTAATTAAAGACACCACCAAGAGCAAAAGGGGCTAAAGATCTGGAGGTAAGGATTAGAGGGGTAAAAGAAATCTACTCAAAACTGGAATCTTCCATTATTTCTTTTTTATTGTTTTTATTAAGCTCTCCATTTTTCTCTGCTTACCTCCC